TTTTTTGGATGGAAGAGGTACTCGTGTGAGCCATTCCATTGCACTTTTGTTTCCCATTCCCGGCCATGCTGGCAGCGACAAAGCTTTGCATGTTTTTATTCACGTGCATAAGGCTTTGATTCACTCCGCAGGGTTTTGATTCACGCCTCCCGTGAGTTGACCGCTATATTTTCCATCGCCTCATTTGTATCCATGTCCCGGACAGTCTACGAATTTGTCATTGTCCGAAGGGATTCCCGCATTGAAGATGTGATGGCGCTTCGGCAGTCTCTCACGCGATCGAATCCTTTTGCACAGCCCCCTGACAACTGCTCTGCGTGTCATGCACATGGGTTGATCACATATCGAAACATGGTCCTAGGACACTGCTGAAAAATGTTGTTTTCTTATCGTTCTATCACAATCAGTTTGAGCTCTCAAACGTTTTTTTCGCGCTCACTGCTTTTGTTCACAGTTGGTGACAATGGTCGCGTGTGTCTTTGAAGCAGCCTACGTTCGCGCCGACACGGTTGCTGACCTCCTCTACGTGGACTTGGACCAGCTCGAATGGAGGCGCTTACCTGCGGGTCAGGAGAAGAGGATGCACGATGGCGCCCAGAAACTGTACTTGGGCATGGGAGTTGCCTCAGGCGGCCTCTTCCCTGTTCACCTTCAAGCAAGGAATGCCAATCTTTGGCTGTTTCGTTCCCAGAAGTTCACCAACGAGGTCTTGGTGCGAAGGGTGGAGGCTGGACGCAAGCAGCTGTCCATCTACGCGTCCTTGTTGGACCAGGGGGTTGCCTTCCAGGCTTTGAACAGTTTTACGGGGGAGGAGCTGTGCACCGTGATCATGTGGAATGAGGGTGAGGCCATCAGAGGCCACGACTTGTGCAGCGCTCTTCGGGAGAAGCTCGTTTCAAATGGCGCGTGCGCAGAGTACACGCAGTTGGCCCTCACCACTTCCAAATCAAGCCAGGTCATCAACGCCTTGGACACTGTGTTCCACCCCAAGCCGAGGTATGAGCCTGAGATCAAGCGCAGGAAGTTTGGGAAGCAGCCCAAGGGATGGTGGATCTCTGAGATGCAATTCTTGCCAGTCTCGAAGGAAGGCTTGGCCCGTCTCATGCAATAGCTAGATTAGGTATCAAGCACCATAGGCTTGAGGTTTTTGTTGAACTGTGAGCACGCCGCTAGGAAAGAGATTTGGACGTGTTTTGTTGGCAGTGCGCTAGCTTCTTGTGCTTGTCACTTTGCTAAGTTTGCTGAGATATGTATTTTCCAAACTACCATACCAATATCGACTTTGCATCGATTGTTTTTTGTCTGAAAGTTGGGTTGGATTGCTATGCACTCGCCGCATGCTGGGTTGTGAGCTCGCATGTGATGTGCACTGAGTTTTCCAACCTCAGGGGACAAGGCGCCAGAACAAAAGGATTTGTTGTTCGCACTGACAAAGTTGCTGGTGCCGTGAGAACTGTGTCGTTGTTGGTCCAGCAACGAAGAAGTGCACAACAAAGTTTGATTGCGTGAGTGCTGTCATTGCTTAGCGTGCATGCACCCTGTGAGATCTAATCACTTGTTTCATTGCCTGCATGGTTGTTTGCTGCGCTTTTTTCCATTCATGTTCAAAAGGGTCGTTTGCTGCGCTGGTAGGTTGAGTCTTACACGACTCTGTGTTGCGCAGCCATGTCGTCATTGGTGGCTGATTTGAAACATACCCAAGAGTTCCTCGAGGGACAGCGAAAGCTTTTGGCGCCTGATCAGTTCCGGGTGATCGTCGGTAAGCAGAGTTCTACTTGGTGCTCTCGCTTTAGGTCTTCAAAGCTCTCACCTTCAGATTGCGCCACTGTTACTGGCATCCTTGCATCAGGGCCATGGAATGAAGAACAGAAGGGTGCGTTGGGCAACGCGCTTTCCGAGAGCGTGATGGGTACTGAAGGACCTGCTCCGCGTCGACCTGCGCAGGAGCTTAAGAGCTTTCCATGCTATATCACTCCCAACGATGCCAAGGTCCTGAGATCCGATGCGCATAACATGGTGAAGTTGAGCTGCGTCGTGGATCGCTGCGTCAACTTGTCCTTGCACCTTCCCAACACCGCCACAGTGAAGCACATCGTTGGGTGCATGGTGGAAGGTGCATATATATATATAATCGAACATGAGTGGAATTTGGCATGTATGATGGAGTCATGTGGGTGGTGTGCTATTTATCAATGCTTTTACAACATGCGTCATTGGTAGATGTTTCGTGGTTTGTTTGTTGCGTACGACCTTTCAGGTGGTGTCGTGGCAGCGTCTCCCAATGCCCAGTATAATCTGTTGAAGGAGTTCAAGTCCCAACTCAAAGCGAAGATCAAGCACCAGCCAAAGAGCAGCGTGCACTTGGAACATTTCCCAGCAAGTCCAGACGATCTTCCGGATGAGCTGTGGAAACAGGCATACGGAGAAAGCCCAGAAGAAGATGATAAACCTATGGGGGCTGCAGCACTTGCAGCAGGCGCGGTTTAATGCACTGAAAGAGTTTGATGAATTGTTGTTGAAACGAACTTATGTATAGATTATAGATGTTTTTCGGATGGTTTGATCGTTTGGGTCCTGCGCGTGTCTGACAAGCAAATTCTATCTACATTGTTTTCGGGGGCGAAGATGTGATTTTTTCGGTAACCTTGGACTGTATAGCTCATGCGGAGGCTTTGAGGGATTGGGGCACAAGATTCCTGTACGAAAGACGAACTCCCAAGTTCGAGACCAAAGCGCGACGGGCACCATGAACATGAATATGGAGAATTGGCAGCAGATGATGACGCAGTGCATGGCCATGATGCGAGGGCAGCTGCAGACGCAGGACACGCCTGCAGGCTTTCAAATCTTTGACAACCGGAGGAAAAGACAAAAGATGCTGACTGGAGGGGAGAGTCCCGCGGAGGCTGCACCTTCAGGGGCACATGCGAGCACGCGGTTGGCCCTTCCAGCTCCAGCTGCACCATCCAAGCCAGAAATTGCCCTTCCAGCTGCGCCGTCCAAGCCAGAAATGGCCCTTCCAGCTGCACCGTCCAAGCCAGAAATGGCCATTCCAGCAGCTGCGCCCTCAGTTCAGGCCATTCCAGCAGCTGCAGCTGAAGCTCCAGATCC